GCACGATTTGGAGTACATTCTGAAACTGCAAGACTTCTGTCAAAGATTAAACTGGCGACTTTGCGTAACGAAACAGTCAAGAGTCACGCGAATACAGGAAACGATAAGATAACATCGTTCCAACAACGATCAGGGCGATTGTCCTAAAAACGCACGACCGAGAATAATCGAGAATTTTCCGTTATGCTGATGTAAAATTCTATCGAGGGTTTTTAGTGGATATTCCCTCGAAAGTTTTATGACAATATAAGCAGCAATGCTCCGATATAGTCGGAATATCGATACTTCTACTTCAATATTCCGATACTTTAGGAATGTTCTGTGTGATATTTTGAAAGTATAATCTATCAATATCGTAGATAGAAACGGAAAGAAAGAGGGAATCTTAATATCCAATATATGCTACAATACACGATAAAAGAGAATACCAGTCTGTTTTCTTTCAAGCAAGATATAAATTATTAATATCGTCAACAAACAGTATCTCTTCAAGTATCTCTGAATCTACTTTTATTATTACAATTCCAAGAAGAGATGTATTTTCATCATCTCAGAATTTTCTCTGTAAGGTACTTAATTTAAAAAACAATTATGAGAAGTGCTGATGTTAAAAGATATTGATATTTACTTCATTCGTATGTACGATACGTTCTTTCGATTTTCATATCAGTCTTGATCTCTATCTTGATGTATTCATGCGAGGCAAAGCGAGTGAAATTAACAACGTCGACGACTACCTGGTGAAAGATTTGCGATGCAAATATGTACGATATGTTCGCGGCGAATGTAATTAGGCGTTACAACGCTGTTGCGGCTTCTTTTCGGCTCCCTACGACACCTTACAAAGCAGCGCCGGCATCGTCTTTATCGTCGGTTGTAAATATCCAATTCATCCGTTGGGAAAATTAAGGTGCAATAAAGTTTCAACGCGCTATCGCGCGCCGAATCCGAGCTGAGCTGCGGAGCGAATGCGAACGCGAATAGCTAATCGCGCGAATGCGAAAAATACGCAAGCTGCACGCTCGTAAATAGCCTGCCTGCGTGCGTGCGTGCATGCGTGTGTACGTGGCGCAAATTTAACGAGAGCGCTGGTATACACGCCGGAAGCTACACGCGATAGTCGTAAAAAACCTGACAGATAAACGTCGGATGCGGTTTCGCGACGCTTCTTTTCTGTCCACAGTTCGGGATCGTGTCCCGCGGGTGCGTGGGCGTGTGGTCGAGTTCAAACAAATGCTATACCACGCTGTCATTCACGCGAGTCCACTTTTTCTCGTGATTCACGTTCGCGTCCAGCGTCCAACATATATGCATGCTTTCGACGAATTCGATTGTGCGGACACGCCCCGGATAAACGCGATCGTCGCTGCTTTCTCGTCGATGAGAGACGTGAGATGTCCTAACCAAGAACGTGGACACACATTGTCGTCACGATATTTATGGTAATTCGTTATGCGCTATATAATCCTAATACGGCACTCGCGTGCATGTATTGTGACATTTGTGATATGGTATTGACAAATAAGAGACTATAGCCTCTTTTCAGAAATTCAGTATAAACATGCTCTTTTGTTTCCAGCGAATAATGTAATATACAATTTCTAGATTAATGTGCATCTTTTGAAGAAGGAATGTTACCTTAACACTAATAAATTTTAGAGACAAAAAATTTTAGAGACACGGAAAAAATTGAGACGTTGACTGTCATGGCATTAAGTGAACTTAATTTTTCAACAATGTCCCCCAGTCAGTAATAACCATGCTACATTTAAAAATATTTTTAAAACGCTTGTAAGATATAAATACTATTTAGTATAAATTTGAAGTGGCATCGTTAATATAAAAATAACATATGTCAAAATTTTTAACATTTTTGAGATAAAGGAAATTGATCTTAATAAAAAAAGATTTGTTTTTTAAAAAAACATTTGTTTTTTAAAAAAACATTTGTAACTGTGCCAACAAGTATTTGTGTGGAGAAAAATATGACAACTCTAAATTTTAATAATATTTGTATGAGTACTAATTTATTTACTTACGGCAAATATATAAATATTTTCTAAATAAAAAAAGTGATAGTTAAATCAAATTAATATTCTTGTATCAAATATGTTTAATAAATATTCAAATAGTATTATTCAAACAACTATTTATTAAAATTTTGTACACTTTTCTCTCAGTATAAGCAGTGTGGCAGTGTTTAAATTTTGAAAATTCATGACATAAGATACATTATAATTGGAAGTGTATATAATATAACGGAAAAGAAAATGAATTATATTTATATTTTCTATCCTAATTAAAACATTGTTTCAAATCGGAATTTTAAAAATAATTTAAAAAAAGGTGCTAATGTGTGCTTTTTCTCCCGGATATATAAATATAACAATGCAATGTAAAGAATATATTATTCATCATTTAATAGGTAAAAAAAAATCATATTACATATTTTTCGTATTATAATGAAAATTCTATTGTAGCGTACACAATAAAATTACAAAACTCGCTGGACGAATAATTAATTACAAAGTTCTTCTCGGCTTTTTAAAATTCAAAATTAACATTTTAAATTACAGTAATTTGGTGAAATTATATAATTATACGTAATAAATTAAACAAATTTATGTATATCATTAATGTGAAAAGAATAATTTTATAAAAATTTAGCTACGTACAAAACCGACAATAATTCTGTTGGACCATCAAAATAATTATGTAGGATGTTCAAGCATAATGAGAGTAATGCTGTAAAAAGTTTTTAATTTTAACAAACAGCTTGGACGTCCTACATAATTATTTTGTCGGTCTAACAAAATTATCTTTAAATCTGTACCCAGCTAAATTTTTAAATATACTTTAGCAAAATTCTTTCCTTTACTTCACACTAATTGTAAAATATGCTTATATCTAGATTCTCTTTAATTCATCCTATTTCATGCGTGTAATTAAAATTATCGCATATGCTATACAATGTGTAGGCGTTTTGCTGATATGAACTTCCATGTGAACTCCAAGGCATCTAACCATCAAGAAAACGCAACAGCAGATTTGTACAGTCAACTGGGATATTAAGCAAATAAGCATCCGCCATCCCGCGGGATAACAATGATTGCACTGTATTAAGCACTCTCGGTGTGTACACATCCGATTAATCATAACGCGTCTAGCTGCGAATCGTGGCGCATCCTGTCTGCAAATCTATTCTAACTCGAGAGCGTATTAAGAAATTTCAACTTGAAATATTTGTTGTGTTTGAATACAGTCAGGTTAAATACTGTATTTAACAGTAAATCATACGTATCACGGTATCACGGAAGGGATAAACACGTTTGTATTTTCGTTAGGGATTAAGAATTGATTTCACCTTTTCTCATACACGGAAAAAACAGTTTTGCTGAAGTACCTAAAAATTTGGTACTAGATCTAAAAATAATTTTGTTCGAATGTAGGATGATCCAACTAGTTGTTAGAATATTAAAACTTTTTGCAGCATTGTCAACACTTGAGCATTCTACAGTAATTATTTCGATGATTCAACAAAATTATTTTCAGATTTGTATCTAGTTAAATTTTTAAATATATTAAGAAACATAATTAATTGCAAATAGACGAATTAAAAGATTCTGATTACTGTTAGAATTTTGATTATCTCAATTAAAATTCTACTAGATTTAACAAAAAAATTCTAATTCGTTCATTTTCAATCAAAATTCTAACTAGACATTTTAGACATGTCCATGTCTATTACTGTAGATTAACTTTAATCTCAGTTCTAATTCTTCATTTTTTCTACATCTTAGAACTAAAAAATATAATAGAACTTAGAAAAGAAAAATATGAAGAGTTAGTTGAACTGAAAATTAAAATTAATTAACTCAAAACGGTTCAGACGACTATCAATTAATATTTTTACTCGAGATCGACGATTCTCCCGGAGATCGATAATTATTATAAATAGCACGAAACTGCGAAAAAATAGAAATCCTGCAGTGCGTTCTCTAAAAAAAATCGGTCATTAGATCTGACTCTCCTGTGGAAAATATCTTCTAAAAAATCGGAGGAAAATCGACACTCTGACCAAAGTTTTTTGCCTGTGCCGGAGATTTGGTTAAAAAGCCGAAGTTTCCGGTCTTGGTAAAAAACCGGAGAGATGGTAACATGCTTCCGATAGGCACTTATTTTTTGTGTCTATCTAGTTTTTCCGTTGGCTCTCAAACAAAAAGTATTGAAATATTCTCCGAGCATCAATTTTTCACGTCACGTTTGAAATAGCAACGAATCGCTCAATTTTTCACAATTTATCTGTCAAGAAAAGGTTATCGAACTCGATTCATCACTGTTCATTTTCACGAAGGGAGAACTTATTAAATAGCACATAGATCCTCACGCATTGCTTTCGACTGTTAACGACTTTCCGCCGGCGTGGATTTGCATAGGAAGACAGTGGCAACGGCGGCAGTAGAGAGAGTCGATAGTAAAAGAACAGAATCGTAGTCAAGATCCCGTCGTCCAAGCCGAACCCGGAGAAACGACGCATTGTGTCTCTTTTCCTCTTCCCTTTCTCTTTCTTTCTCTTTCCCTCGGATCTGTCTTCGCGCGCTGCAGAGGAGCAGCGTACGGCAATGTGGAGAGGATGAGGACAGAAGGCCGATGGAATATATGCTATGCGCTCGTTGAATGCTCGTTTGCAGTATTCGCAGAGGGATCCGACAGAGAGAGAAAGAGAGACAGCGAGAGAGAGAGAGAGAGAGAGAGAGAGAGAGAGAGAGAGAAACGGAACGGAAAAGAGTCAAGAAGGAGGAGAAAGCCTCGTCCGAACGGGACGGAATAGAAGGAAGAAACGCAGAGAGAACAGAAGAGAGAGAGAGAGAGAGAGAGAGAGAGAGAGAGAGAGAGAGAGAGAGAATGCGAAAAGGTTCGGCGGGCCCGGTGAGGCTGGTCAATGGAAAGACCGTCCGGCTATCGTGCAACCCTTCTCGAAAACAAAGTCGGATTCTCACCTTGATTTATCGCTTACTCCCGCTGTGCTCCACTCCGCTTATAACTTGGACCAAGCCGCCGCGCCTGGTAGCTGCTCGCACCCTGGTGAAAATTAATCCATTGTCCCTCGTGTCCTGATAAAAACCGGGCACCGGCCGGCCCGTTCGATTCTAAACACGCCGGATGATAAAACACGCTCGATTCCACGATGATAGAACCAGTTCGTCGGTCGGTAGTCACTTTGCCGTGCTGCCGGACAGAGGCGCGCGTGTACGCGCGAAGAACACGAGTGAGCGATCGAGAACGACGAGAACACTACATCAGATCCGTAAACATCAGACAGCGTTTACATACGGCGCGGCGCGCGCACATGGATAGCGTCGCGGTGGGCGTATTGATATGTACTGGTATGTACTCCGAATCGCGTTTATGCACAAGCACACAATGGAGCGATTTCTCCAAATATTACTTTACTGCTGGAGCATACGGCGCGCGCACGCGCTCGCTCGCTCGCTTACGGAATGACGAGAGAACACGACGAGAGTCGAGAGAAAGAAGTGACGCGCGCGGCCGTAGGCAAACGGCAGTCGCGCGATCCTACTACGACGACGGACACGGACTCACTGACTCCGAATTCCGACTCTCCGATTACTCCGACTAGTCCGACTACTCCGAGGCGACGCGAACCCGAGCGAGGAGACACGAGAGAGCTACGGAGTCGACGTCGTCGACGACAAAGTCAAAACGATCGTCGCCGGCCACGAGCGGGACAGAGAGAACGAGCGGCGACGTGGAAAGGGAAGCGACGGAGCGGCGACTGCTATTCTCGTATGTTTCCGTCGCTCCTCGGCCACGACTACCGGCCCCTCCTCGGCTCCTCCTGATCCCTACCAGCAGCCATCCCTTCGGCTTGTGTAGTATACGTTATATCGCCAGCGAGCAGTGCACCGTCATGCATCTCTCGTCCCTCGGACGCTGCCTGCGCTGCTTGCTGTAGTCTCTACTACTCGACTCTGTTTAACCATGCACGCGCGCTCGAACGCTCGCACGGCGCGTGCATGTATTTATACGTATGCGGATGGATATGCGTATACAACTATACTATGCATACTCGCGAGGAGTCGCGCGGGCGTAGCACCTCGTCGTGTGGTGCGATGCACCACCTGTGTGTACATACAATACATACACGAGCGCGCGTACACGATGCGGAACGTGCGGATGCACATCCATCCTCCCCCCTACCCCAACCCCGACGCAGGGCATCGTCGGGGCCACACACCACACGCGCGCGGTGACGTCACGCGGCTGGATGGCTGGACACCGTGGCGTGGATAACGAGAGACGGTCGGCCAGGATCCCTACCCTTTCTCCTTCTTTCCCTCTGCCTCCTTTTCTGCTCTGAGTCTCCGAGATTCACGACCACTTATTATCGGTCTGCAGTTTTCTTCCTTTCTTTACTTTCCTCTCTCTCTCTCTCTCTCTCTCTCTCTCTCTCTCTCTCTCTTTCTCTTTTTCTCCTTCTCGTTTCCTTTCCAAGCTGAGCCCGAGCGACTTACTGCTTTCTTTTCGGGCTGGTTACGAGCGGCGAGACGCGGTCATCCCCTCAGCTCGTAGGTGGATTCGCTCTCGCGTGGTATTAACGACGTCCCGTGTAGGTACAGTCACGACCGGTTCCGAGGAGGACCTACCTACCTCCTCGTATCGAGATCGAGGCTCGAGGACACGAAGTGGACGAGTTCGACGATCCCGGGTCCGCGTGCGCGGATCGACGCGATAAACTTTCCAATTCGCGTGTCGCTGCCGGCAAATGATGCCTACCGTGTCGTTGCTGCGAACGATTCGTTGCTGCAGTAAATTTCATCGATAAAGGCATCTGTAAAAATGTATGATTAAGGCAGTCGACTGTAATGGGAGAGGCGAATTAATAAGTAACACCCTCGTCGTCGTCGTCGTTGTCGTCGTCGTCGTCGTCGTCGTCATCTGGAATACCTGCGAGATATGAAGCCGTTTAAACGTCGCGAGAAGCTTTTTTGTCGCAGGATTCCGGCTAAAAATACCGTCGACCTTCGTTTTTTCTGCCTGACTGCTCGCCATTCCGTTCGTTATCGCGCACGAGAGTGACGCCGATGTAAAATGGAGCTGTTCAGCATCATTGCGCAGAAAGAGAGAAAGAGAGAAAGAGAAAGAGAATTTCGCGTAACTGTCTGCCACCGGATTTTATGCGCTTTCGCGAACGTCACGTTGCGCCCACGATATGGACGTTCGTAGTAGACACGCGCGCGAAAAATTAGGCGTGTGAGAGATGTCGTTTATGTATTTCGAAGGAAAAAAAAGGATGAGGAATTGGCATGTTTATTACGGTTGTAAATTCACGTACAATATATGAAAGGTCGAATATTATATTATACGCTGAACTTTCCATAAATTCGAATTTTGTGCTTCTTTACTTCAAAAATAACACAACTAAAAAAACATGATTTTCGAATTATTGCATAGAAAGAACGATTTTGCTGGAAGATTAAAAATTTTTCTGGATACAGACTGAAAGTAATTGGACTTTCAAAATTATTTTGTTGAAAACTCAAACTGATTGCTACAGAATATCTAATTTTTTACAATTTGTCATTTGTAGTTTCTAACAAATATTATTTTAATGATCTAACAAAATTATTTTCAAATCTGTATAAAGCAAATTTTTTTTTTAGCACAATCGATCTTTCGACGGATGAACAAGACAAACATTATCTTATCACCAAAAGTGAATTAATTTAATTTTATAAAAAGTGATTAAAATCGTCACAACTCAAAAAGGCTAATTTTTTAAGGATTGTAATTAAAAATAATAAAACTTACATGTTATTAAATCATGTTATTAAAAATAGATTCTTTTACCTATATTATTTAAGTATAGTTAATAATTTTCTGTCAAAAAATAGATTTTCCTCTTTCCTGAAAACTTAATTTTTTGAATTGTGTCACTTTTGAAAAAAGTAAGCGTCATTCTGAATTTTTTAAATATTATTATACAAGTCTATACAATGTAGGTAATAGTATAAGAAAAGGGAACAGAATACAGTTATAAAGGTGGAGAACAAAGCTCATATACTGATTTAATTTGAATGTAGTTACACTACAACAAATAAAATATTAATTTTTATTTGAAGACTATGGTAGACTTTCTGAGATACGCAAAAATGTTGAGACCCACAAAATCTGTTAAATTAAACTTAATAGTTTATTTTTTACAGTGATATAATTTTATACAGTTGAACTTAATTTAGAAAGAAATAATTAATTCAAAAAGATATAATAAAAAGACATAATAACAAAATGTAGAAAAAGAATCTCACGGAAAGCATCAAAAACATTTCCTATATCAAAAATCAGTTTCAAATACGTCAAAGAAGACTTGTTGAGACTGCACATATTTGCGATAGCATATCTTGCATATGCCAATAGCAATAGTCTTTCACAAATTCATTCATGCTAAACATTCGTTTCGACGCTCTCAATGTCAAACAAATTCCGTATCGTATCGTATCACGATCCAACGTCAATCCTTCGAAAACCTTTCTTCCTAGCTCGCGCATAGACGTCACTATGACTCCTCGCGAGTATATACCTACATTGTCGAGTTTCCTTTCAAACGGTAATATCCTAGTCGTCATAATATTCTGGCTGATATTCGCGACGGGCTGCAAGAGGACACAAGGCTCTTAGCCATCGGGCTTTTCTTCGCTGGCTAAGGAAATGACAAGAGGAAGGTTTTGGGTTAGCGATTCCTCTTCAACGTTTGCACGTCTGCATCTCAACGTTGCAAAGGAACGGCGACGACGGTTCGACTCGGGACAGGTTCCGATTACCATTTCGCGAGGCTTCAGACATAGTGTCTAGACGTTACTCTCGACTGGACGGCGAATGTAATTCCCCGTACGAGCCAGGTGGTCCGTTGCAATCTCTCGACTAGTAATCGGATCGAGAGGGTAAAGAATAAGAGAGGGGGGGGGGATGGCTCGAAAGGAGTTTAAAGGTCAAAAGAGGAATGGCGATTCGACGAGATCATGTGAATTCCTTTCCGCAAATTTGCATCGCAGTAGCTTCGTTTTAATGAGCTGTATACCAAAATATGACTGTCATATCGACGATTTTGCTGAAATATCTAAAACTTTAGTTAGATACAGACCTGAAAATCAGTTTATCGGATCATCAAAATAATTATATAAAACGCTTAAGGGAATCCTAAAGTCGTCTGTTACCGACTAAATCGTAATTTTTGTAACAATTATTTTTTTTCCTCTTTTACAGATTTAAAAATCCTTTTACAGGATTAAATTCGCATTAATACTGTCTGTGAGATGGAATTTATGCCGAGAACGACAAAAAAATTTTTTTAAGATTTTAATTTCGAAATTTTTTTTCGTTCTATGTTAATCTCTATTAATGTGTATACTTTAATTATGGAAAAGGATTTTCGCTGTAAAAGAGGAAAAAAATAATTGTTATACAAAAAATACGACTTTAATTTTGGAATATCTTTTTTGTTAGACCTTCAATCACAATTTCGCAAACTCAGGATTGTTAGTGTCATACAGGGAAGATATCATTTGATACATATGACTTATAGAATTTCTACACTAAAGGAATTATAATTTGAGGTGACAACTATAAAAGTTGAAATAAAGTGAAATAAAGTGAATTTTTAATTTTTCCCCCCGATTTTCTCGTCGAATTTAGTGGCCGGTTTTTTTTCGTGCGTACTTTTATTATGTAAAAGGATTTGGTGATCTATAAAGCCAATTCGAAGAACTTGACAATCTGCAATTGTCGGTAATTCCTGTTGGTTTAGAATCCCTTTAACACAGAAATATTCTTGAATTTTTTTTTTACATAAATGATCATCTGATGTTTGATACTCCAAAATTACTATTATTAACATATTATGTATTATTAGTTATTTTCCGATTAATTAATATTTGAGAACATTATGGATCATATTCAGAATGCGCTTTTATGCTACTAGAGCGTATTTATTACATATAGTTTACATATACTATAGAATATCAGACAAAAAAGCGTATATTCATTAATAAAAGCGCGTTCTGAATACAGGCCTATAAATACGAATCACACTTTTAAGAAAAAAGTAATTAGAAACAAATATAAACGTATTAAATAATCTGGTATAACAGTATCTTTTAAAAATAAATTAATATAACGCTTTTTATGTTTTTTCGGATTTTTTGATAAAACATTTACATATTTAAAGGTACGTAAAGAATAGTGATTAAAAAAGAAACATACGTTGAACAATATTTTACAACAATTCATATTTTTTCGTCGCTGGGATGAAAAATATCCCAGATAGTTTTTCCCGAGTTAATTTTACATTGTTGATAACAATGTAAAAAGTTTTAATATTCTAGCAACCAGTTTGAACCATGTACATACACGGAGAAAAATATAAAGTAATATTTAAAATTCTAGTTATTTTATGGAATTGACAGGTCCATATAAGAATAAGCATCCATTTACGTAAAATTTACTTTATTTTTTTAATAAAAGAACGATCATTCAGTTATAACTAGTTACAGTTATATAGTCATACTAT